CTGCTGGGCTCCATCCTTCTGCCAGGCAGGATCCATGCTGTCACCTGTCCACTTACAGAAGGATAACCCATTACGTTCAGAACTGATTGGTGATTTCTGCCAGCACCAGGCAAGTCTACAACTTAAGTGGTAGAAAGAGACATGAGGGATTTCCAGACTGTGTTTGTTTAGTGTTTTTTCTTTGTTGACCCTTGCCTGTCACTGTAGTCTTGGTGTCAGTATTTTTGGGCACTGGTGATATGACAGGGAAAACCCTTTTTCTCTGATTACTTTTTGTGGACTGAAAGTATTGTGTTTTGAAATTGCCATAACATTAAAAAAAGTTAATGTGTCAGACTGAGCCATATGGCAAAATACTGGCATTCCCCTGACAGTGAAGGAGAACTTGATGGCTCTTGGGTTCGTTTTTCTGTGCCAACTTTAATATGTTCTAAAAAGGCCAAGTGCAGTCAAAAGACTTGAACAAAACTATGTGCCCATCCTACAGTATCATTGTTTTGTTGTGGTGGGGTTTTGGTTTGTCTCCGGTTCAGAAACTATGAGGTAAATAGAGTCCCTGAGACATTTTTGAGATCTGATTTCAAAGTTAAATTTTTAAATTCTAATAGTTTACTTCATGCTCTCTCCCATCCTCTCACTGCACCCAGTTAAGGGGTTCTCAATGCTGGCATTTGCATCAGTCAAGAACTCTTAAATACTATGAAGATTGTATAATTTCTCACTATAAAGCTGACTCACTTAGCTAGGGAAGAATATCTTGGACAGTTTAAGATCTGCTCAAGTGTACCAAATTCAAAACAAACTGAACTCTTTTATGTTGGAGCCAACATACTTGTGCTGGGGTTTTGTTTTGCCAGATCTGTTTACTTGAAGCAAATAATAATTCTAGATAGTAAAGTTAATCATAGGACCAGGTGTTCATAGAAACAGTGGAAGTGGTCTGCATTTCTAAATAATTTATAGTACTCTTCAACTTTGGTATATTTTTATTGTCCTTTCCTGAGTGCTGCTGGAATTTACGATGTACAATGTCGCTCTTACTGTCCTTTTTAATTTACTCTTCCCACTGTAAAAAAATAAACTGTGTTAGTGGAAAATAAATCTGAAACACTTTGACTATGTTTGTGGAACCTAATGCAGCCCTAAAAGGCAGGGGTTATCAAATACTGTATCTAAGGATTAAATTATTTTCATTGCATTGAAAAATCTGAAATGGTTTGAGCTCCAGGAACTAATCACTTTATCCTTGCATTGAAAATCTTCCAGTTGAGAGTAACTAACCTGGACTATTAATATAAACTTTCCCTGATATTTACATGTGAAAGAAAAGCTGAACTTATTCTAAATTATTCTTTCTTTTTTCTTAAACAGTCCAATGATGATAATTACACAGAAGATCACTAGTTTGGCATTTGAGATTCATGATGGTAAGATTTCTTTAAACTGTGTTTAATTATCCATAGAAAATACATTTTAGGAAAGTTAGTCATGAGTCAGTGGGTTACTTTAGTCCGGTGTGTGTGTTACGACAAAACATATTCTTGTGCCTCGGTTGAGTCTTTTGATCCTTACTAATGGAAGTACCAAGAAATGTTGCTCAGACACTACAAAAGCTTTGAAAATGCTTACACTGTGCAGAAGATACTATTTATCAGAAGACCAATGGCACTTCTGGGGCCAGTAACTGAAGACTACTGACATATTTTTTTGAGCTGGGGTATTGATCCTGATAATTGGCTGAATAAATTCAGAGATCACTGTTGCTGACAAATTGCTAGGAAAAGTACACATCACTTCAGTCGTTGAGCACATCTTAAAAGCCTAGTATGTGCCATATATGCTGATTTTCATGATGTTTCATTTTGTTTATTATCATAATTACACTTGCTACTGAAGTGTCAGTATGAACAAGGAGATTATCTAACTATGTTTCTGTCTTTTCTGCTCTCTGATTTATACATCAGATAAGTGGGCCCTCGTTATGACAAAAATGAATCCTACTGTGGGTTTTCATGGATAGGGTACCTAAATGTTTAGTTACCTTTAAATTCAAAGGGGTAATTTTCATTTTAAAGTTTGATAATATCATCCAATAAATCTTGCCAATTATCTTGAACCACTTGGAGCTCCAGCTGTTGGCTGAAGATTTGGGAGTGTAGCCCCAGCCACCTGGATCAACCCACCTGTTCTTCCAAAACGAAATTTAGTAACATTATGTGTGGTGTTTAATATGTTTTTGTCTCATATGCATCCTAGCTTTAGTGCTGTTGGTATTCTATTTATTTCCATTCTTGTCAACACTGTCTAGAGAAGCCTGTAGGAAACAACACTGATGAATATGAGAAGTCGGGAAAACACCTTTTTGTAAGGATTCTTGTATGAATTAAATAATGCTAGGCATATCTAGCTGATGTTTAACTTCCAGAGAAAATACTTTCAGAAGTATTAGTCTTGCAAGCTATAATCAATTAGACTAGAGAGTACATAAGCTAGATGAAACAGCTAATTATAAGGAAGTAATAATTCTAGTATCCAAGATAAATGCTTTCTCTTACTATTATTTTGCTAGGGGAAAGAGCCATTCTCAATTTGCTGACATCATGCACAAATAGTGGATTTGTGGTATGAGAAAAGCATGTGAGCATTCCTGGTAATCTTGGAACGAATGTTACATTTAGTTAGATGTATTCTTAACTTCCTTCATCAACCAGGCTGTCCTTTTATTCCCTGCTTAATTCAGATAATTTGTGTTTTCCCCATAAGCCCAGTTTACCTTCATTCTAAATTTCTTGTAGATACAATTGAGTTCTGAGAATAAACCTTGAAATTTTGTTCCTTGCTGACCTCGTATCAGAGATCCTTTTTAGTCTTTGTCAGCCTGTGGGGGGTAGCTCATATTATATTGGAAAACTTTCTCTCTGATTGCAATTGTCCTTGAGTGGGATGATGACCATTGCTGGGAACAAAATGTGAGCATGACTTTCAGAAGTTGATGTGACCAATGTGAACTCAGGAACAACTGCTAGTTTGGTGTCAGGAGATGCAAAGAAAAGATGCACGGGGGAAATGGAGATTATACTGAAGCAATGATTTTTAACCATAGACAACTTAAAAGGTGTCCATCATGAGAAATTATTGAAAACAAGCCTGCTGTAAGTGGGCTTTTGTTCACTGTACGAAGGTCCATGCTTCCACTGGAGAATACTTTGACCTATACTGATGGGCTAGGAGAAAATGTTGAAAATCAGTGTGATTAATGGTACTCTGAGCCTATAGTCATATCAGCTAAGCTGTATTAGTTACAGATTACTTTATTCCTCCCCCTCCCCACCTTGTTTTTTACATACTGCCAAGGAGAGGTAATGAAAACAAAGATCTGAAAATAAGGTCTTTGTGTATTGGCCGATCTTGGTAAGCTTCAAAACTCTAGTTGTAGTTAGGTTGGCTTTGTGGTAAAGAGACATCTGGACTTGATCTTTTCCTGGCAGCCTGTTCATTGTGTTCAGCTGGTTTCAGTGTTAGATTTGAAAGTCCTGAAGAGAACGGGATGTAACCATGAAGGCCGCTCACTCATGCTGCATATTAAAGAGTCTGTCTAGCTAAGTGAATATGCTTGATTCCAAATTGAACACCAGTATGGAATCCCATAAATAAATAACTACCCCTGTAACTGCTATATCCCTCCCTGTGCACTCACTGTGGGGTTTTTTTTTTAAAGCAGGAAAATGCTATGCAAGTTGCATAGATAGTTTTAAGCTTGCTGTGTAATACTGACTTCAGAAGGTTGCATGGATCACCGATTTACATCTGAGTAAGTTTGGAGTGTACCTTTGGTGTACTCTGACATTTGGGACGGAAGCTCTTGGTAGTTCTTGCCTTCTTAGAGTTTCTTGTTACTTAAATGAATGCTGCCAAAAATGAGTGGTCAATATGTTAAGTTTTGCTTTGTATTTCTTGTTGGTTATATTTGGCATTACACATGTATATTCTAAAGGCAGAAAGATTTTTGCATTATTTGGAGACTGCTTGTGGCAGTGTTTATACTTCATGGCAAGATTTAGATTTACTTATGGAACACTTTAGGCAAATGACAGAGTTAAGGGAGAAGAACTATTTTGTACTTCAGATCCTATATTCTGAATTTTCATAAAATTTAAGACTGGCATATTTTGGAGAAGGAAAACTGCGTTGCATTTACTCTAGAAGTAAGGGCCTTGTCTACAGATGCAGATTAGAAAGGCTGTAAAATGGAGGATTATACTTGCACAAGAAATTTCTAGCTAAGAAATGGCGGCAAGTAGAGAAACATTTGCAATTTTAAGGTACTAGAAGTTAAGCAGGGGAGAAGAAGAGAGAGATTGTCACTGCCTGACTCTGCATCTTGCGATGAGTTCATACAGCATTTTCTCATTTTGCTTATAACCCACTCATCCCCACTCATTTTACTGCAAGTCCACACGAGGTGAGGGATCTTTACAGGAAAAGACCCACATCCAAATCTAATCTCGCTAATCTCTATGTGCTTTGGCAGCTTGTTTTTAATTCTAGTGCTTAATGAATCTTAAACAAAGAGTCTCTTCAAATGTTTATATTCATAACCCATTAAAGTTCTGGAGCTCACAATGTATTTATTTTTAAATCTCCAAGAGATTCAGCCAGCAAACCCAGGGAACACTAGATTTGATATTTAAAAGAGAAAAAATCCTCTCACAGCTTCCTCCAATCTTGTTCTAATTTCTTTAATTTAAACCAAATAATACATAAAACTTTAATACTGATCTACTAAACATGAAATCTAATTCTTCCAAAGTATTTTTTCATATTAGTATGTTGTATTTTTCCACCAATAGTGGTGGCTAGATACAGGTAGGAAACCAGAATCGTAACACTCTTCTGTCAGCTGCTTCTAGGTTTCCAGAGGCTTCTCATGCTTTCCAACCACAAAAAACCCCCAACCTCTTTGTTCCTATGTGTACCCTTCTCCCATCCCTTCCTTATGCCCTGAGGTTTCAGCTCTGGAGTTGCTAATTTTTTAAATGTGGTTTTCCTGGAGTACTGCTTGCTGGGGTTTTTTTCCCCCCTTAATTATTGTTTCCTCCTATGTATCTGGTGCTCTGCATTTTTAAAAGCGACGGAGTAGATATGGATGTTGGTTTAGTAAGGCACTGCATTTACTGGGAGAACTAAAAGGAGGTGAAGAGCACAGGGAATATGCAACTCAAATGATGCTTTTTTTTTTTTTTCTTTTTTTTTTAACCTCTGCCATTTAGTTTGAATGCTGTATTGGTGAAATGCAGTTCAAGGCGAGTCTTACACCAGCATTTTAGGTCTCACTTACTTTGCTCCATCATCAAGCTATTAGGCTAATGGCGGGATTATTTTATGCTGTTTTTCCTCATCTTGCTATTCTACTATGACAAAGCTGTAAGATTTCCAAATAGGCTATTAGAACCTATTTCTGCCTGCAAAATAATGAAAGCATAGCTTCTGTCTAGTATGGCCCCTGAGAGGAGAGAGATTTCAGTGTATAGATAAAATACATGGAGAATGGGAAGATGAGGAAAAAGAAACAAAGGTGATGTTGGAGAAACTTATGTGCAAACACTGTACTAGATGGGATACTACAACATACGCTTTGGAGGTTTTTCAGATCTTTTTTAATTATAATTAGAACACAAATTTCTTGTTGGTTTGCAGCTAATGACCAGTCCCATCCAATGTGCAGTACCTGCTATTAGATTAATAGTGGTGGTTTGGTTAGCTGTTCTTGAACAATGTAACAGTGTCAGAAGTATTGAAGAATTTCTTGGTTTAGTTGATATAAATATTTCTCCTTTATCTTCAGTTAACTAGATTCTTTCATTTTTATCAGAGGCAAATACTTCCCATACTCAGCAGAAAGACACTACATCTCTCTAAAGACAACTTTACTAAAGACAACTTTAGTATTGGTCTGCTCTGGCTCAAAGGCTGGAAATGTGGATGTACTAAAGCACTGAACAGCTCATGTATTCTGTGTGTGAGATGTGACATTTCAAATTTATTTAAAATACCTACAAAACCAAAACGGGGATTACGAGGCTGAATTGTCACAACATGACCCTGTGGTAAAAAGGAACACACCGTGTTTTGGCCAGCTGCTTTGATTAAATGGGGCTTTTCCTTTGTAGTGAGGTGGTCAGTTAAGAATATTGTTATCTTTATGAAAATAAAGGTCTCAAACTGTTAATGCACTTTTCTGGTTTCAAATAGGCTTTCATATTATTGTTATATTAAAAAGTGTATTTGGATCATTGCTATTGGGAAAGTATGAGCAAGAGAAAATTGAACAACTCTTGAGACAGAGACATGTACTTATGCATGTAGAACTAGATATCATTTTTGGTTTTTTGATAGGTCATCATGACCCAGTTCCACTTTATAAGTTCTGGTTTTACAGCAAAAAAGTTGCAGCTGTTTAACCAAGAATGTTGTTTTCTAATTTGTTTGTTAGTTATGTCAGTGAAACTGCTGTGGTGTGTGGATCTGTATTTCTGGTAACTTGGTGCTTTCTTCTTATGTCCAGGAGTTCCTTCTAATGCTCTCTCTCCAACTGTCTCTTGATCCATTTTCTTTTCCTTAGGTGCTCCCTCTTGTGTTTGTGACAGCATGGTCATTTATTGTTTCAGTATCTGTTACCAAATAACTTTGATCACAGTACATGCATTAGTGTTTAAAAGAGTTATATTGTATTTCTCCCCTCTGAACTCTTCAAGTGTTGTTCTGGACCAATATTTGCTTGCATGGCTCTCTGGGTATCAAAACTTCTGATTTTTCTTGCTTTTTGTAGTTTCTTTGTGTTTTTACTGGGCTGGCATCTATATCTGTTTGGTTTTGTTGCTGCCAATGTGCTAGTAACAGCTAAAACTGTTATTGTCTGCCTGTCTTCAGGTCTTAAACTATTTTAATAACAGCATTCATTGGGGCTTAGCCAGCGATCCATTTCACAATCTCAAAATTGACTGTAATTACAAAAAAGCCTGTGATATGATCTCCATATTTAAGTATTATTATTGTAATACAGGCTTGTATCTAAGCAATATTAATAAGTAACTGATTAGCCAGATCCCGTGCAAATACAAATGTGAATATATTCAAGCAGATTAACAGCAATGCTGGGGTGGTGCTATGATACGATTGTAAACGTATTATTGTAGTGAGAAGCATGGTAGTAGTCCTAATATGCCTTAATAAAGCCTAAATGGCAGGATATTGATGTGTACCTTAAGTTGTGACTTTGGTTTTACAAAGTTCTTTTACCAAGGAAGGGGCATAGGAGCATTTCTTACTTTACAGATAAGAGAACTGAGTTATGGTTGCTGAGTGACCAAATGATTTCACTCTCTTAACAGATGTTCAATAAAACCCATTTTCTCTATTCCCCACTGTGTGAGGTGGTAGCAACTAAAAGCTGCAGTTATTGCAATAGTCCTGTTTTAGGACAGGAGAAAACAATTGTCATAATCCCCAGAGAAAGATTACAAAACTTCATGAGTTCCCTAGTCAGTGGTGTGCTGTTAAAGTGGGGTTTCTTCATCTCCAATGTGAAGTAGGTAGGGAAGAGCTATGATTAATGAGGCCTCTGTTCCCATGGGCAGATACACTGCCTGGGAAATACTGAATGTATATATATTAATTCATTTCTCATTAGATAAGCATCAATGTAAGAGCACCTTTTCCATGTGTATTTTCTATGAATTAAAAAGTCTTAACAGTAGCTTCTTGAAAGCTTTCAAGAGTATGACAGAGGCAGAGATCAATCGTTTCCTTGTTCTTGCATGCTATATGCAGAGGTGATAAATGGGCCTTCAAGCCACTGAGAAGACATTTAAATGAAAGAAACCTGCAACAAACTGATTCTGGGAAAATCACTGAAGTGACCTCAAAGAAATTGCTGGCTGAAGGGAGATCTTAGTGAGACAGGGAAATGAAAAATTAATGGAGGCGTACTTGCTTGTGGTATGTTTGAGACAACATTTGTATTGCTCACCTGATCATTTAGTCCTTAAGTGTGGTGTCCCTGCTCATGGCAGGGGGGTTGGAACTAGATGATCTTAAGGTCCTTTCCAACCCTAACTATTCTATGATTCTATGATTCTTACATATGTATATAACTGAATCCCGGTTTAAATATGCCAATTCTTTCTTCCTCACCTCTCCAAAAGTATAGGTCATATTTCAGTGGTTAGATATTTCTGTTTCAGGTTTTTGTACTGCTTTTATGTACCACATAAATGATGTGAAATCTTTTATTTGTCTAATTACCTTTATTTAGTGGTTAGTCTGGCTTTATGCAAGTTCATTTGAACACACTTTATGACTGCATCCACTTTCTGATTAAAGGATGTGAATACTCACATGGAGTGTAACAGTGAAGGATGCTCCTGCTCTGGTCAATTTGCATTGTATATGCTGTGAGAGGCTGAAGGCTGTGTATGGGCTTCTTCCCTAGAGTAGTCATGTCGTGGTCTACATCTATCTATAGTTTTTGTGTTAAATTCAAAGATTCACTACCTGAGACCTGTAACCTTATGGCCTTGAAAGTTAAAGGGCCTTTCAAAATGTTTCTCCCACATGTTTTGTTGAGCACAGTTACTGACATAGAGATTTTTGCAAGGAGATGATGTGAAATGTAATAATGGGGAAGAGAAGCTGCCTGCATGAAGTTAGGAGTGATGTTTTGTCCTTGAATGTCTTGCCTTGAATAGGGGTGACTTTGCACTCTGAAGGATCAGGACCAAGGAAGGCATTTTTCTAGGTCATATTGGAGGAGAGGAGATGGCAAGTTGCTGACCCCTCTGTATTCTCAGTCGCTTTTAAGACTAGAAGTGCAGTTTTAAAGTGTACGTAGGGCATAGTTCTTGGAGTCATATGAAAACAAGTTACCTTCTTTTTAGATAACAAGTATTTCCGTAAGTCACAGAATTAAATGAGGTTGACTTCCCCTCTGCCCCCGAATCTTTTTTTGTCTTAAGCTTGACTGATTTTAATATCTAAAAAAAAAATAAAAATTGGCTCCAGTTAAAATTCCCCTAATGCTTGGATCAAATATAAAGGCTCCCCTCTGGTTTTACTGGCATCAAGAAGTGGTGCTGAAGGCAACCTTATTGTGACTGGAGGAGGATCTTCTGCAGAATCACCTGTTTTCATAAAGCACATTGGGATTTCACATCTATATTACCTCTGCACTTCCATCAACCTTGGTTAGAAATTGTTTGTTGAGTTCAGGCACTGCCAGGGAGGAAGGTAATTCACGTGGGATTCCATAATTTCATTTCCTTTGGGAACTGTGCTCATAAAAATAAATTTTGTGGTGCTTGTGATGGCAAAGGAAACTTGTGAATGGCAGGGAATGGATGTGTGCACTAATGTCTGAGCCAGTGGCGGGGCTGCAGAAGGAGCTGAAGCAGTCAGTCATCTTGGCAAGCAGTGCTGGTGGTAGAAACTAGGACTGTCTGAAGGAAAGAGCTCTGCTTCATCTCTGCCCCTGAGTGAGTGTGGTTTATAGTAATTGAAAGTGTTGAAGGTCGTATTTCTCACTTTTTGATGGGAGTACAAATTTTGAAGCCTATCTTTCAGGGGCAGGCCACCAACATTTCCGAAAGCAGCCTGTGTGGCAGGAAGGTAAATTCAGTCTTGCTGATGAATTTAGATTTGGCCTGCCTCCTTCTGCTGGCAGGGGTGAGGGCTTCTCCTTAGTGCTCGTGAAAGAGAATTGAGCACCCTTTACTATCCTCACTGGACCTTGTTTGCAATCTTTACTTGCAGCATGAAGATGCCCTTGAGGTCTGCCTTAACTTTTGGATTGTTTAAATCTACCTTGCACTGTGTTCATACTATACATCAAGAGTGCAGTGACTAGTGTGATGTTCCTGAGTTACTGCAATGTTGAAAGAGGTTTGGGGCTTGTCCAATTTCTAGGGCTGGGAATAAGGGGGAATAAGACTTTGAAATCTTAACTGATGAAGGGGAATTTGTCAACACTTACTACAATCCTTCTCAATGCTTTCCTGACATCCATATGATGTCAGGTTTGGGTGCTGTTGGGTATAACTGAGGATACAAGAGTTTGTAGTTTTTTCAATGGTAAGAATTGTTTGGTCCATTTCCAGCAAAAATTTTACATGATGTAGTACCTCTGAAATTGCTTGAGGACTCAAGAAATTACACTGCAGCATGAGGCTTGCTCTAGTGAGTAAAGAAACCACTAATTCATGTGTGAGGGTTTAACTTTTCTTTATTTTTCCTTTTCCCTGTCCTCTTCCCTAGGAATGTTTCGGAAAAATGAAGATTTGACTCCATCACAGAGGTGCTTGGCTGTAAGGTAGGCTTTCGGGCATCTCTGGGAGTCTAGTTTTGGGGTGGGAAGAAGCTGGTGTTTTGTGTGCTGCCATAATGCTCTGTGGAATTGCTACAGTTTACATTCAAGATAGGGAGTTTACCCATGTAAAATGGATCCATGCTTTTCATGTTTATAGCTTAATTCATACATCTATTCTGGAAAATATCACTAGAATTAAGTTTTATTCTTATTTAAGAAAAACATTCTAAATTCTATGCAGTCTATGCAAATTAATGCCATATCAGGCAGGAGACTTTTAAAGTAGCTGGTGAAGGAGCATGCTTGTTTAATTCTGTTTTTTAGTATTTAACTTGCCTTTTCACCTTTCTTTATTCAGGAGACTTGCAAATAGCATGTTGTCCTGGGCAAAACAGTCTTGACTTGAGCCAATTTCCTTAATTGAAATTATTGCCAGTTAACACAAACCTTTGTTTACTGATTCAGTTATTAAGGTAAAAAAGAAAACATAGTTGAACAAACATGTAGGGAATCTCCCTTCATTCTCCTTCCCCAGGCTCAGCCTCAGACATCTCTACTGTGTGAGGAGAGAGTCACCAGAGTTCAGGACATCTGCCTGAAAATGCTCAGTACAGATTGGAAAGAAATAGTATGTGTAGAATGTTTTAAGCTGTGATTACGAGAGACACACAAACTGCTTTTCTACATGTGGTTTTACTGCAGTTAGAGTAAGCAATAACATGGAGTATGACTTTTCCTGCTGTGGAAATTCTATAGAACTACACATTCCGTCTCACAAGTTGCTTGTCTTTGAATTACAGACGCATGCCAAGTCTACTGGAGTATTTAAGTTACAACTGTAATTTCATGGGTATCCTGGCAGGCCCGTTATGCTCTTACAAAGACTATATTACTTTCATTGAAGGCAGATCATACCAACTGCAACAGTCTGAAGCAAATGGGAAGGAAGATACCAAATATGAACAAACGGATCCTTCCCCAAATGTAAGATGTATGACTCTTGCAGTGCTGATGCTTACGTAATCATTGCATGGAAAGCTTGGTTTGCACTATTCGTTTACAGGCATAACTTCTGACCTGTATTTGGAGTTCATTCATCAACAGTATAGTTCCCTATTCACAAAGTTAAATACTTATTCTTTTTTAAGGCAGGTTTTCTCCATGGTTTCCAGGCTGGATCTTGTGGATAAAAGCAGATTAAACTGAAGCTTCCTAACAAGCTTATATGGTAAAAAGCTGTCTTTAAATTAAAACACTTCATGCGTGATTCTTTCAAAGCATATACCGTCCATAAAGAAATGTCCTGGTAAGGCTGAAGTGCACATTTTGTCATTTTGTCATTTGAAAGCTGAGACTTAAAAGTTCCAGCAAATTTCCATGAACATTCTCAAATTCTATTTCTTTTTACTGTGTTCTTACAGCAAGTATAAAACACTCATACGTAACAAACTGAAAATAGTCATAGAGTTTCATTTTTCTTGATTTCATTCATGTAGAGAAGTGTTAAAGATGGATTTTGATCTGAAGGTGTAGTAAAAGATGGAATAGACAGAACACTGTGGCTAGTAATCCATACATTTCTTCTTTCTCTTTGTTCTGTTATTGGAAAAGAGGCCAAATACATACATAAGTCTGCTTGATCATACCTTACAAGAGAGATTGTATGGCCTGTTAGCTTGTTACTTTTTAAATTTTAGGGTACCAAATGCTCCCTTTCCCTCTTTTCCTATTCTCTCAAGTAGGAGTGTATCAGACTCTTAAATTTGTGTCTGCCTAAGATAGTTATTACCTCACTTAAAATGCAGAATTAGCATGGAAATCTTCAGCTAGATAAGTGGCTTTCATTATTCCATCATCAATTACTTGCTTTCTGCTTATCTTGTGGATAACCAACCGTTGCTAGAGCAGATGAAGGCATTCTGACCATCTAGAGGTTACCATCCCCACAACTGGGCTAACACAGAGTGCTTCCTAATCGATTGTGTCATCTCCTTTGAATGTAGATGAGGACTCTTTGCACATTCCATTCTACTTGTCTTGTGTGATTGTAGTAACTTGGACCAAATGAATATAAACGCGTGGCTGGAGGATGATAACCCTTTAAATTACTCCACATGGTGACAAAGCACCTAAGCTCATAGAAATGCTGTGGAGCCAAGTAGCTAGGAATGGCAAAAGACACAGGAGAATACCTTGCATAGGTGGGCATCTCATAGTCTACAGTCTGCGTTGTTGTCTTGGCAAAGTTGCAGACACATCTTTTTGCTTTTAAACATTGTTTGGCTCAGTTGGAGGCATCACATCTTATTATTAAAATGCTATTGCTGCAGAAAAATATGTAGTAAAATTACTGCAAATAAGTGGAACTAATCTGGCAGTATCAGTACTTCTGGACACGTGTCTACTGGTTGCCTGGTAGGACAACCTAGCTTTTTACCACATAATCTTGCTAGTAATCTGAGTAAAGTCAATAGAAATAAATGTAAACTTACGATGGATTCCTCTTTCAGGTAAGTGGTTTTCCTTAAAATAAATTGTTCTTGAGATGCTTGAAACTTTTTGCAATTTATGCTGCATTAGCTTCAACATAAAGAGAAGCTGTCTGTGCTGTTACTTCATCTCCCCACTGGTGTTAGAGAAATCTGGCTGCGTTTTGTAACACCAGTGAGTATAGTGTGCTTTTGGAGAAACATGGATAATATAATTTTACTGCATTTGCTGTATCAATTAAAATAATCATTGTCTTGATCTAGAAGAATGTTTAAATACCATTAACTTCATATTAGTACTTTAAATTTGTTCCTTGGTTCTCATGTTATTTCAAGAAGAATAAATTGTTAGGAACTCAAAAAAAAAAAAAGGAATGTAACGGGGATCAGCAAATGTTAAAGTAGTAAATGAAAATAAAATCCTTCAGCTGAGTTACAGTAAGTTTTATTTCTTGTTAAATATAATATTTCTTGTTAAATATAATTACATAACCAAAGTAGTTCATGGCAGCCTCCTCCTCTATACTGTGTGTTGACTGCATGATGTTAACTTGGTTTAGTATTATTGCTGTGTTCATTGCATGTGAAATGAATCAAGTCAGCGCATTAAAACTTATTTCTTATATCACTCCTATTGTGCCTTTTTGCAAGCTATCAATTGTTGGTGCTCAAAGTGGTGTCAACTCTCAGAAATTAATATCTGTCTTTGTAAGTTTCTTTTTATTATGGCTACCCTTAAAATACAAGATTCCTGTCAGCAGATATCTGCTTTCTTGCTTATTATGCAGGCTCTTCCTACAGGTTATAAAGCTCTTGCTTAGTTACCTATACTTTTTACCTGAGGTGCTCTCCTCCCCAGAATAATATGCTTTAATATAGTTCAATATTATACTGAGCTCCTTACTGATTCTTCGTCAACCAAGTTCACTCAAATTAAAGGTTTAAGATCCTTTTCTCCTTTTTTGTATAATTTAAATCTATTATACATGTTTATGCAGTTATATATTTACAAAATCTCTGAGCTCAGTGACTCTCTTTACATTTATTGCTTCAATTAGAAAGCTGTTCCTGAACTCCTTTCTCTTATTAGATATCTAACTTTCAAGCTAATTATAGTCCCATCTAATTTATTCACATTTGGTTTTGTCCTGGCACTGTCTTGTAGCTTAAGTACCAATTTCCTTTCTCAACATTGATCATAATTCTATTTTTTTTTTCATATATAGGTTATGCCCAGTTTTTGTTCATAAGAACTAAATGAGCCAGGCCTTTCTACTTTTCCTGTTGTAAAATAAAGTGTATGTTCTACTTCATTTGAGGTCAAAGTTATCCTGCAGCTTATAGTATTTTAATGCCTTAATGCAACAGTTATTTTCATATTTAAAAACTTGAAAGTGAAAGAAATTTAAAGTTTGAACTTTTAAATTAGTTACTTCATCCTTGTAAAAACTGACCAACCCTCCTGTGAATATGTGGTCCAGTGACTACCCATTTACAGCAAAGTTCAGATCACTTAACTAGTTAATTAAGCAATAGGAAGTGAATTAATGTTTTACCTAATGCATTTATATTGGTGATTGAACTATAGATTATTTTGTCAGGTGAGGATTTTTATTTTTAAGTAAATGTGTTCAAAACTTGAGTGCTATAAACAAGCCTGAGGCTAGAGTTTAATAAACTATTTAGGCCAACCAAAGTATAAACTCTTGCTGAATATGCCCTTGGGGTAGGGTCCATACAAGGTAAGGACCTTTGCTTGTCCTAGCAGTGCTAACATGCCTAGCACTGCGGTGTGGTCTGATTCAGATAATTTGATCCAGCCTTAAACTAAGTTGTTATTTAAAAACAAACCAAAAGAAAACAAAAAAGCAAACCTCACACAACAACAACAAAACCAAACAGCACAATGCCCCCCACCCAAAAAAAACCAGTCCCAAACCGAACCAAAACCCAAGCCCAAACTCTGTTTTCCACTTGTTTCTCTAATCTGACTCACTAGAAGGAAAAGGCAAGAAAACCTTGAAAACTCAAGGTGAGGAGACAGGAACTGCAGCTCAGAGTCTTTGTAGAAGCAGATTATCTCCATCACTGTTTGCTAAGTATGCTAATATCCCTGATACTGATTCCTGTAAGTGGTATCAGCTTGACTGAGGGGCTGAGATTTATAATTATGATTAAAGTAGTGCTTGTCCCTGCACTGAAATGTTGCTCTAAATTGTAGAAATACCGCATTTAAATAATAAATAAATAAATAACCCCCCACGGTTCCTCAGTATTTTTTTTTTTAACAAGTACAAACTAAAACCTGCTGAGATAATTTTGTTAAAAGTACAGTTCATGGCAGAGCCCTGTATGTTTATTTTTTCTGAAGATGAGTTTTGTTGAAACTGATGCTTCTCCCTTAAAAGAAGGGCTTTCACCTCCACAATTTAGTCAAAAAACTTGAATAGGCAGATCGATGATTTCTATTTACCAACAGAAAAACTGATAAATAGCAGCAGTGGCAAAAGCAGACCTTTTAACAGAGAAAACTTTACTTACAAGTTGACAAAACATATTCTGAGACTTTGTAGAGATCTTCAGATGGAAAACATCTATTTTATATGGTTATGTTTTAAGCTGCATGTTACTGTTACCAGCCTGTCAATACTGTTTCTCACGCTAAATTGAACGTGACTTTTAATTATGGCTTAAACTTTGAAGTTAAATCCTTGCAACTGACTTCAGAGCTTTGTGGTGATGCCTTTGGTATTTGCAAATATCTACCTTTTGTGTGTATCAAATATTGCATACCAAAGTTAAAGATTCGCAACAACTAAAACATCAGTGTGTTATCAGCATTATTCTCAGACTAAATCCAAAACACAGCCCTGTACCAGCTACTAGGAAGAAAATAACTCCATCCCAGCTGAAACCAGGACAGAAAGTTAATGCCCTTTACTTTGAACTCTTGTCATAGAATAAAATACTGAGATGAAGTTTATCAGAAAGCAAGTGGAAAAAAATAATTAAACACCAGTTTTAGCTGTTGGTAGGTAGTTGCCCACTGAAATAACCAGCTGGTTTGTTGAGTTGGCTGGGTTTTCTGATCCTCTCTGAAATATCTTCTGAGGTGAGCCGTGTGAGATCTATGCAATATCCACAGTTGTATCCCTCGCTGTTTTACAGCTTTTCCAAGTCTAATTTTTTTTTTTTTTAATAAGGTTGCACCACTGCTTACATCTCGTGACTGGGTGAATTGTTGTTACTTTGGGCCTTGCAGAAATCTTTTCAGTTGGGCACTTAATGCTCCATTCTGTATCATGGAACAGAATCGCTCTTTATTTTGAAATCAAACATGTGAAGCTGCACTCTAATTGAAGCAGGATGTTACCTTTAAAAGTTTACTGGAAGTACACTGGAAGCAGGAGGGATAGAAAAAGGATTCTTGTTATCTTTTTGTTCTGATGCTTCAAAGAAAAATAGCTGGATTGACAGTTTTCTTGACAAGTTCAGTGTCTGTAAAATTGAAATGTAAGTTAAAACTGTAATGTTTAAATATTGATACCACTTACAGCCAAAACTTGAAAACTACATTTAAGTGAACTAGCTTTCAAGCTTCTCTTTCCTAGCTGCTCAGTTAGTGTGTTACATTAGGAGCTTGCACAGAAAGTGGTATCTGCCTTTAGGATGTGGATCAGACTAGTGACTGAAAGCAGTCAATGCCATACATTACTGCTCTCCGTGGTTTTGTAATAGAACTTTATAAATATAAAAGATTATATTCTTTAGTGTGTTGGTTATAGTAAAATTGTATTTTGAGAAAATTTGAGTCCAGGTCCTACCTAAATAATGTGTTTTTACATGTCTATGAGCATATTATTTGACTCCTTATAGCTTGAACAGTCTAGCTGGGAAAACAGGTCTATATAGAACTGAGGTGTTTTGGCTGAAAATTCATAAACTGTTTCAGTATTTTAGTTGGTTTAGAATTCATATATTGTAATAATCTAATAGAGATGATTGATGTATTGGGTTGGGCAGCAATTGAACACCTGCATTATGCTAAAGATTACTGAAAATCAACTGAAGCTTTGCCATTGTTTTTTGGAATCTCTGCAATAACTGTACTTCTTTTGTTCTAGTTTATATGCTTTGTGTTGTGATGTCTTAACAACTTACTTGCTTCAGTATTTTGACAATAAAATAAGAAAAAAATTGGAGTTGCAAAGGGTGTTCCCATTATTGGCAGGGTTTGTAGGGACTCACTGTAATCAGATTGGATTTGCTGTGTGTACCAGAAGCAGCAGTGCTCACAACTTCAGATAACTGTTCCTTGAGCCTCTATAAAATGCTACCAACTATTTTAAAGTCGGTAGTATACATTACTGAAAAATTGGCATGTATATACATCTGTTTAGGGAGGGAGGATTATAATCTGCCTTTGTTTCCAGAAGCTTAACAAAAAGGAAGCTTACAAAGTCTCCCATCTCAAATTTTTCAGATAGCTGTGGCACAGAAGCTCTTAATCTGTGGACTGTCCTTACTCTTCCACATGACAATTACAGAAACTTTGCCTGTGGAATACAATATTGATGATAACTTCAGAGCTACAGCATCATGGCCCATAAGGGTTTTCTACCTGTATGTGTCTCTTATGGCTGCCAGACCCAAGTACTATTTTGCATGGACTTTAGGTAAGTGTGTATGTATAAAAAAAAATAAATGAAAGGGTATGTACTGAGTTTCATCTGTGATGCTGTGCACTAAGCATGTATTAAAAAGTGACAGTGCCCTCTTGAGGCCTTAGGAAAACGTAATAACATAGAAGTAGTATGAGGTATTGTCAAAGTATATTGGACAGTGTCTCTCTTCTTGAGAAACAAAACTTGTCATAAATCTAAGCCCAGTGTTGTGACAGTGTTGCAAATGGGATCATGGTCTCCTGAACAAATCTGAGTGAAACATAAGGGATTTTTTGGAGAGTAATAATTTTATAATGAGCAATGATTTTTTTTTTTTTTTGTTTTTTAAGAAGATTGTGAATCTATTCTGATGTACAAGCCCTGGTTTGGTTCATTTTTGTTTGGGTTTTTATACCTTCGTTTTGGCATATCTGAAAGGTTATTCTAAGCCTCTTTCCATGGTTAGTTATCTGTAATTTGCTTGATGATATTCAAGTACAAAGGAAAAATATGTATTTTCAGAATTTCATGGGTGATATTTCAGTTTTAGTCTCTGTTCACTAAAAGTTCTAATGACTGACAGGATAACACCCATAGTCACTGTTTTAAGACTCTGAATAGATGAAACAGTTTAAAGAATGTTTTGATTTTCAGGTCATATTACTTGAAAAGTAAAACCTCAACACATACAACAGCAAAATGCTGTATTTTTTGTAAAGTGACATCTTGAAAGTGGCTCACAAACCAGATTTCATCAGCTTCCTCCTCCTCTCCAGTTTTACATATTTGTTTCATAACGCTTTTGAGAGAGAATCTGTGGGAAACAATGCAATAAAGAAAGCTTTAGTGTAGCAGAGCAGCATGACTCATTTACAGCTGCTGGTATCATTCCTGGTCAATGAACGAAGTGCTTTCAGCTTGTCTGGATATAGTAGTTCTGGGGCTTGTTGTGGAATGTAATAATTTTGCATATTGGGCTCTTATGCACCAGTACCATCATCTGTAAAGAGTAGGAGGCATCTGAAAAATGAATAATCTTTGTTAATTTTTTTCTCTGTAACACTTCAGATGAATTTCTCATTATGCACTTACTAGCAGTATAGAGCTAGCATTCCTTTGGTAAAATACTAAAGAAAATAAACTATCAACTCTGTACTTCTAGTTTGCTAAATAGCTTTTTTAATTTCTCTCTTCCACTTCACCTCATGTAAACTTCTAATGGTATGAGAAGAATGTGAGAGGCCATAACAGCTCTACTGGATTTTATGCTTTGGATTTATACATTACTGTTCTTTACACTGAAGAAAAAAGATCTGTTAATGAAACTAATTACATAAAATGAATACTTACTAAAATGCTGGTTAATGAAATGAGTACTTACCCTAGTTGTAGTCTTTGCTCTAGCTAGGAAGAGATTATGAAGTTCATGTCTTCAGCTGTCTCTAATTGAGCATAAAACCATTGTCGGCTATTTAAAGTCAACATCAGTGATATCAGTTAAATAGTAGAAAGTTTTGTTGCTCTCAAAGGTGGTTTTTGTTTTTGATGAGGAAATAACAATATTATAAATTACCCTATACTAAATCAAGTGTCACAAAGCTGTCTTCCAGACTAGTAAGTAACTGGAGAAACTAAACTTCAGGGAAGGAACTGTTCGAATAAACTGTTTCTTTTGCTTTCCAAATACACTGAATTAATGCCTTGGGAAAGCTGTTGAGAAGAAAGGCAAATGCAAAAAAAAAAACCAACCCAAACCCCAAATTTCTTACACATTACTATTGTATAAAGTAAGTTCTTTTAGTATGGTAATATAAACAAAGTGATTTCTCTTTCCTTTCTGGGTATAATTTAAAAGGTGACAATCTAATTGCAATGCTTTAGATCATTTCTGAGCTAACAGAATGTAGCTGTGTAGTAATGACCAAAGACACACATCTGAGTGTTGAGCTGCTATCTCAAGTCATTACAACCAGCCAGTGTTTCATACTCTTGATGCATGTCATTGAGTTTGTTTCTCTGTCTAGTTGATCAAGCAAGTCTAAGTAGAGGTAGTATGAGAGAAAAGGGACATCTGCACTGTGAAGTGCATAGAGCTACCTTGCATTCTTCAGTTTTTGAAATGAAAGCCAGTGTGTTCCTTGGATTATTTTCTGATACAGTGATCCTCAGTATCTTAAACCCCAAACAAATAGCCTTTAAAATGTAATAAATATTTTTAACAAACTACATATAGGATGCATGATTTGTAACACAGGCAGTTTATAATTAATCTGTTTCTTTTTGTTTCATTGCAGCAGATGCAATTAATAATGCAGCAGGGTTTGGTTTTAGAGGCTATGATAAAAATGGAGTGACGCGTTGGGATCTAATATCAAATCTGAGAATCCAGCAAATAGAGGTTTGTTTCTGTCTCTTTCGCATGAAATACGTGCCCGTGTAGGTAGTTGCTTGTAATTTCAGTAACTTTTCCTGTGCGTTTTGTTCCTCAAGATAGTGAGTATGTTCCAAGTTAGAAATGACGTGTTCACACACTTAAGAAAGGATGGAAAATAGAGTCTGTTTTGAATATGTTCTGCTTGTCAGTTGGTTTCCAACATATTTTGCGGTTATAAGTAGTTAAGTGAGTAGTTTATTCAACTCATCAAAGTCAGGGGATTTTTTATAATTTATATATCAGAATTTTTGTAACTTTACAATCACAGAAATAATTTGTTATTATTTTACAGTTTTCCACAAGTTTCAAGATGTTTCTTGATAACTGGAATATCCAAACAGCTCTTTGGCTTAAAAGGTATTTATTTATTTTAAAGGAAAGCTTTTCTCCACTGCAGTTTCTTAGATAAATATTTCTTTGAAGGTAATTTAGCACTTACAGCTAAACCTCACAAGACATCAGCTGTTTAGAAACTGCACGGGACATTCTTCTTGTAATATTTGAATTAAAGCTGCTAATTTAGGGCTTCTTTTTAAGAGTAAGTTTCTATCATGTTATGATAGAAACTGCACTGTTCTTCACTGGTCATAAGGAATCTAAAACTACTAATCTGTGGAGGCCTCTCTCGTTTTGCTCTCTCTTAGCATTGAAAGCAGTGAATGTTGCTCCAAGCAGCAGGCAAAATGTATGTTTTTAGCCTCTAGAAGCTCTGTGATGTTTTAGCCACACAGTGATATAGTAACTTCCATACATTCTGTGAGACAACTTTCTGTGCTCCTTCCATAGTGAGTGCATGGCAAATATCAAACCCTACAATGTGCTGTCAACAAAAACTGCAAATGAGTATCCCTTAGATGCACTTTTTTCCTTGTCTGGGAAACAGGTATAGTGAGTATGCAGTGAACTTACATCATTCTGCTTTTACTACTACTTTGTGGTAACTAGAAAGCAAAAAAGTGTTCTTGAGTAGCACACAGGTGTGGTTTCCCTTCTCCAAGTCTCTGTTGGGTTGGTCTTTATCAATAAGCACAAGTTTAACTGAGACCCCTATCTTGAGATCACTTGGAGGACTTTATTTCTTCTCTAGGATGACTGGCAACAGGATGTTTCTTCCACCAGATTTCTTTCTAGTGTATCTAGTGTTTCTTTTGCTTCCATAGTTTCTTCCCTAAATCTTTTTCTGACCAGTTTAAAAACAGAAGCTGAATTTTATGTCATTATTCTAGTTGGCTCAATAGGCAACAGAATCTATTGCTGGGACAGTCAGCAAAGAAGAGTTGCATGCTTGCAGGTATTGAAATGTATCATCTAATAAAGCAAGTGAGCTCTTTAGCTATTTTAAAATGCACTTTAGTTAGAGAACAGAAGTTTATCAGTATTAAAACTTAATAGGAAAAGGTTGTGTTTCAAAAAACTTTCAAATCTCCTAAATGAAATGATTCCAAGTGAAACTCCTTTTAGTGCTGAAGAGTAACATTTCTATTGAAAGAAAAAAATGCAAAACAATTCCACAGGCTGACATTAAAAGATGGGAAATAAAAAAATAAAGCACCTCCTCAAGTATGTTTAAGAGTGGTAGAAGAATCTCAGAGGATAGTCTAAATCCATATTGATTCTGCCACAGTGAAAGGGAGGCAGGTGGATGTTTTGTTGCAAGGAAAAGGTTGTTTTAATGATTATATGATGACCATAAGTATTAGAACAGAATATATATTATATTACCAGTGATCTAGTTAGTTGCAACACTGCAACAGTTTGAATAGAGCATAAGCTCATGTATTACTTTAAACATCCGCTTTTAATACCTCACTTATTTACCATTTATAGTAGTACCTGAAATCTTAGCCATTTATCTCATGTGAAATACCAGACATCAGCATTTGTTCTGTTCTTTTCTAATACTCTCTAAAGAGAAACCAGACCATCAGAATTACAGGACTTAAACCCTGAGAGAGTGTAAAAACAAAGTTAACAAACCTACAAATCATAAAGAAGTTTAATAAACATTTAATGTAGATCACAAAACACTGCAGCTGAAAGGTTACAAGCAAGCAAGTTAAAATATTTACATAGTAGCATATATCAAAAATACATATGATGGTGATGTTTTCTGACTGGGGAAGCCATTATGCTCCTCCTCAGCCTGTTCATTCTTTTCTCCAAAGAAAAGGCCTAATTCCATTTGTCTTTGGTCATGTTTGCAAAACCTCTGTGGTTTTTGTTGCTCTCTTCTGGCATCTGTCCTAACTTCCTGTCTTCTTGCAGCGGATGTAATACTTCTGCTACAACTTCCGAGGTCTTTCCCTGGCTTGTTACTGGCAGAGTTGAATGATTTGAGTGGATTGATTACCTATATTGTCTTTAGATAACACTCTAATATGTTGCAGTATTACGTCTTCTTTGCAGCAGCATATAATGTTGATTCATGCTCAGCTGATAATTAGTGTCATACTGTTCACTCATATTTGGCTACATTCTTCAGGAATGGGTACTCGGTTATGTCTTCTGCCTTTTTTGTTAGATGGTCTGTACTTTGGACTTCATCTTGTTCAGAACATCATTCAAGTCTATTGAGATAATTTTGGATTCTAGTGCTCTGTCTGCTAAGAAAATAAAGACAATCTTGTCCAAACCACCTCCCACCTCAAAAAAACAGATGGGAAAATGAAGTGGAAAAATATACTACTCAGTCTACCACCCAAGCTAGTAATGACAGTATAGAATCAGACCAAAAGCAGTACCTTCCTGAACAGTTCATGCTTTTTCCACTTCTGGAGCAAATTATGGATAAGTTCACCTGAACCATCTGTATTTGAATAGATTTTCTCAGCCTCTTGTGATGACTGTTGTTTCCTTGGTTTGCTTTTAGGAATGTCAAGTGAAGCATTTCAACAGTATTTGTTATTGGAAAATCCATGGAGGAGTTTAAGCTTACTTCTTACATTTTGAAATCAAAGTCTAGTGAATATCTTGTCTGACTTTGGCTAGTTAAGCTCCTGAATGCTTTGCAGGGGGAAATTTGCACAAAGCAGTTAAACCAAAAAAGGTTGAAGCCATGTATCAATGTTTTTAATGAGACATAATTAACCACCAGTCAGTGAAATATGCATTCAGAATTAATATTGGTACTAAAACACATAACACTTTGTACATGTTCAGTGTTCTGGTTCAGTAAACATTTCTTAACACTCCCCTGTAGCTAATCCCAAGGAGTTTAAAAAGTGCACTTGTATACACACAGTTATATGCAAACTATGCCTCCAACTCCAAGGACATGAGATACAAAACCATCCTTCCTTCTGGAACTGTGGGTACCTGCTTGTGTGCACTGCCTGTGGGAGATGCCAGTTCTCCAGCTCTATGTGAACCTTGGATTCATGTGCCTATTAGAAAAGCATACCGTGAGTTCACATGTACACAGCTGATAGGGATGAGACATTGTTCCCCGTGTATTGCATACTGCAGTGATGGGCCCCTGGCTGGATCTAAGCCACTTGGTATCTACCAGGGAGGATGCTCTGCCTTGGCCAAGACAGAGGTCATGATGCTGGTGGGGTGACTTCTACCAGTGTTAAACCAGGTTTTGCTGGCTAGCATTTTGCTCCAAGATTTCTCCTTGACTTGTTACAAATTTTCCTAATGCTTTTGTACTTTCTAGGCTGACAGATTCTTTGTGTCAAAAGTCTCTTCCAAATTCCCTGGTTACTGTTTAGTCTGGCTCATGTTACTTTCCTCTCTGAGTTGGTCTGTTTTGGGCAAATGTCCTCAGATAGCTTTGTCTATTACACATGCTTGCGCCTGCATCCCGATAACCCCATGTTCTCATCTTAATGGCCATTTTTAGTGGAGCCATTGAGCTGGTACTCTGCTTATAGACCTTATAGAATAAAACTCTCCAGATGTATTTGACTGGAATACATTAAATCGGCAAAATACACTTTTGTTCTTCCCCTATTTAGATCATGGCTTTTTACCTTCTTCTCTTTAACACTAACTGTATCCTTTGGGTTGGCAGTCTTTTTTTGTATATGGAAGTTGTAGTAAAGTAGTTACATTAGTAGTGAATGTTTCGTCCCTCTGTATCATTAGCTTGCCATCTTTGAATAAGAGACATACATTCTCTTCCTCTGTTACTTGCTGTGTGTTTATAAAAACCTTTTTACATGTGTCTATGGCCAGTTCAGTAAAAACTCATTTTTGTATGTTAGCTTTAGATTTTTGTTCATGCATGCTTGTGCTGTTTGGTTTTGCTCCATGTTAGTGTGTATCTGTTTCCATATTTCCTATTGCTTTTTGGTTTTCAGATCATTAAAGAACTCTTGATGAAGCCATATCAGGACCTTACCATGTTTCCTATCATTCTTCCACATCATGATGGTTTGTCATTGTGTCATTTAATGTTGTCTTCTAGGAACTACCTGTTTTGGATTCCTTTTTCCCTTCTTTCTTCTAAAATTCCTGAGTGTGGGACTTTGCCTAATAACTCAGAGTCTCAGTTTTTAAATAGCAGAGTTCAGCATTCTCCTTATTTGATATTCTCACATCCTTAGAGTCATTAATTGTAATTTCATTGTCTTGCTCACCTAATTGCCATACCCAGATACATTTTCCACTGTAGTCTCTCCGTTACGCAAAGTCAAGCATAGTTGTTATTTTCCCCTTCTCCTATAAGTTGCTTTCATTTTATGAAAAATATACATCTGACTCATCACAAAAATTTGTGGGGTGCTTTCTGCCTTACAGTACAGCATTTCAAACACATTCTTGGATGGCCCAAGATCCTTTATTAACACCAACACCTGTCTTTGGATGCTTGTGTATCACTTCATTATAAATAAGTACTGTATGTGATGGCAGTGAGAATAGGTTAGCACTGAGGGGTTAAACTGGGAGCTGTGAATAACTTTTAAGTATTTTCCGTAAGTCATAATATAGTGGCAACATTATTCTATAATACTAAGCTGCAATTGCGTTGCAAATGGTGTGTTGGAGAAGAAACTACTAAAAGTATAAATGTATAATTGATAACTGGGAAGACTGTTGGTGATTTGTCTCATGTTATTTGTCTTGAATTGTCTTTGATTTGCTAGAGTGTGTTATGAGCGCGCCACCTTCAGCCCAACGATCCAAACCTTCATCCTTTCTGCCATCTGGCACGGGGTTTACCCAGGATATTACTTAACATTCTTAACAGGAGTACTAATGACACTAGCAGCACGAGCTGTGAGTACCAACCAAGTATCTTCTTAAATAATAGTAAGTTTTGTAAACAGAAATTGATCATGTTCTGTAGTTCAAAGACACGCTTTACAGTTGGTATACAGTGTTTTTGGTAGTAATGTTTGCTTTTCCTAGATATGAGCAAGTGGCAATGATTAATTATGGGAAGGTGTTGATCAGCGAAACAAGCAAGACTGTACACAGCCTATAAAGTCTTTGTATCATATCTTTCGTGGAAGCTCTTCCTCTGGATTAACTGATCATGTATTGTTATGCCATGCTGAAAAGAATAATGTTATCCAAGATAATTTTGAAAAAACTTTCTGTTGATGGAAAAAAGATCACTGATAAGTAGGTTAAAATTTGGGAGCCAATGTTATATATTGACAGAGTTCATCCCCTCCGTAATTTCCATCCAGTACTGTTGTGAAGATGGTAACTAAAGAATGCTCCCCCTCAACCAGCAGATAAAAATCTCTCATGCAGTTATTATTCAAAGCTGGCCAGCCAGCAGTGCAGTCATATTAACGAGCTTTTGAAGCTCTTATTCAGAACCATATGGAATGAGCAAATCTGCCAAGAAATCTCTCACAGTTCTGCTTGAGAACAGAGGCAGGTTTTTCAGTTTCTCAGTGCAAAAGAGGAACAAACAATCACATGACAGCTCAGAGCAGCATAACAGACCACTTTTCTGTTGAAAGAACCAGGACAATGAGAAATGAAGCAGGCTGTTCTTTGTTGCTGTAATAGCTAGGGGAAGGTGATACTTCACATTTCGATGGTTACTTACAGTAATAAAACAGACATTCCTCCTCTTTATTCCCAAAGATATATGTATAGTTGTTGTCTGACAGAATTGACTCCTTTCTTTACGATAGTTATAGCTCCCTTCTCCTTTCCAGACTTTGTCACAGTGCACTTTTGACGTTTGTCAGCGAGGCACTGGTGCAAAAGCCAAGGTTCAGGGACAGTTCACAGGTGGAAGCTGTTGTGTTCTTTCAGTAAGATGAGCCTGCTAAATCTGAGTGCTCACTGCACTTCGTTCTGGGCTTTGCTAGTAAGTGAATACAACTCACATTTCATATGCATCAATCAATAGGCTATATTGAATAAAAATATTTCGAGTTCTGTATTAACAGGTACTTAGTATTGACTGATGAGATAGGTTGGAGTTACTCCAGCATGTTTACCTCTATTAGCCTTTAACTATAAAGCTTAGCAGCTCCGATCCACATTTTTTTCTCCTGTCATGCCTATGAATGTATTCAACTAATTTTACTGCCTTTAATCATTGTGCATTTCATAATCAGGTGTTACTAGGGGCAATTATAGATTTAACCTTGAAAGTTGTCCTTCAAGTCCTAAAATACCAGATTTCTCTACAAGAAAATCTGACGAACTTCATCCAAGTTTTACAGAACTCGGGAGCAAGTCATTGCATGTGACCATAGGAGAAAATTGTGGGGAGATGGCAGGATGAAGGGAATGTGGCTAGAATTACTTCTACAGGTGAATTTGGGTTAGAAGGACAGGAAGACTAAAAAAGTTTTTTAACATCAAGAATGAAATCAGCAGGAGCTAGCCTTGGATACGTTCTTCTGAACAAGGAGTTCTAAAGAAACTGAAGATTGGAGAAGCTAAACTGTGTACTCTGGTGTGCAACTTTTCAGAATGCAGGTGACTGGAAGGTGGCAGCTGCATAGAAGCTCAAATAAGAATGTGAGAAAGTAAGAGTGTGAGCAAGGGTGACAGTTCAGTTGAAGGAAGGAGGAATGAATATCTACTGGTGTCTTTTTAATTATAGACTTAAATATAATTGAATTCAAACCTGTGTGGGTTTTGGATGTTTTTAATACCTTCGATATTCCATGATTTGCACAGAATTTTAAGAACAAAAGACTCAGCATAGAAAATTGAGTAATTTTGTAATAGTCCCCTTGATACTAGTGGTTGTTAAGACTCCTGAAATATGTCATTAGACCTAATATTTTGTGTATTTTGAATTATACCCTACCTGTCCTAAAATGCATCTTATTAGCAAGTATGTGAAAAAGGCTAACCATATACAAGCTTTCAACAGAAGCACTCTGGCTTTCATTTACTCCCACATTCTATTTACAGAATGGCTTGATGGGATAGAATGTCTGCCTCATTCTGACAAGCAGCCCAAAGTAGCACTGGATTTAGGGGGGATTCACTTAAATTCTGCTTAAATTCATAAATACTTAAATTCCTGTGCTGGATGAAACATGCTATCCTAAAAGGCAGGGAACCTGAACTGACTTCTACTAAAGTTGGTGGGCATTTTGGATAGCTCAAAGATGCTTGACCAAGCTGTAGCATTTAAATTCATTCTATGAATTTTGTGGAAGCGCAGTAAACTCTGTACAGCAAGATAGTTCTTCAAGTTATTCCTAAGCTAATTTGCTATTATCTGCTTTTTCAGATAAGAAACAATATCAGACACTATTTTGTTGACACTCCTGCTGTTAAACTATGTTATGATATTGTAACGTGGATGGCAACTCAAGTAGCAATAAGTTACACAGTCGTGCCATTTGTATTGCTCTCTGTAAAACCCTCTATCACCTTTTATAGGTAAGTGCATTCTACCTGTTTCTCTTTTCCTTGTATTTTCTGTGGCATCAGATTTCTGAAGCTTTTTAAGTGAAAATTATGACTGATTTGTTAGCTGAGCAAACTGGATTTCTGTTCTAGTGCTCAAACATAGTTTGTGTTGTGAGAAACCAGAAAGTGCTCTCGTTTTCCTGTTATAATGGACTTCTATTTCCTGGGGCTGGGTGGGAATGGGAAGTGGGAACAACCAAAAAGAAAATCGGAGAGCACCTTTGGAATTACTGTGTGCACTTGAATGGTTTTATAGTGAGACTAGATAATGACTTCCCAAAAGTAACTTGTAACAAAAAAAAAGTTGAAAGCAGACTTGTATTCACTTTACATCTCTGTTACAGCACCAAGTACTATGAGGGAAGACTTACTTTCTGATTTCCCCTATATTACTTTTCTTAAAGGAAATCTTAATATCTTCCTGTTTTACATGCAAGTAATGCAAGTAGGTTTTTCACAGTGTATTCCTTAAGCATCCTGTGAGAGTGGTTCAAGTTTTACTGAATTGCTATTTTTGTTTGGTTTTTAGCTCCTGCTATTTCTGTCTTCATATTGCCAGCATCCTGGTGTTGTTGGTATTTCCACTGAAAAGAACTCAAAAAGGAAGTAAAAGGCATGAAAGCGTCCAGCCCGTATGGTCCAAAAAACTAGAAGAAGAAAATCTTTTGCAAAAGAACAGTTATTCCACAACAAATAATAGTTTCAGTCAGAAGCAAGAAATAACCTGCAGATATCAAGCATTGAAACAGTGATTGAGGAAATACTATGATGAATATATTTTGTATGTTTTCAGAAACCCATTTTTAGCACCTTTTAAAGGGGTTTGTATTTGTTTGCAAAGATGTTTAGTAAGAAAAGAATGCATTACCTACCTAGGAAAAATCACATACAATAGCAAGACTGGAAACAAAACAAATTAACCCCTCCCATGCCATGTCCCTGTGGGTCACGCCTTATACGAAGATATTACCATTATTTCAATGGGCACTCAGGACTTGCAACGTATGTCCATAGGGTCATATGTGTGCCCTTTGCTGAATGTACGTTGTATCCCAAGGCACTGATGGGGTGGAATAAAATTGTGTCAATCTAGGATTAACAAATGGAAATGGATTTTTCCAAATGAATGACTTGCCTTAAACCCTCTATTTACTGAAATATTGTTTCTAAGTGGGTATTTCCAAGTTTGATTTTATGTGGAAAGCGTATTTCAAATATATAATACTATATGCTATAAAGAAGATAAAAATAGGAAACACAAAGTCATTAGAAGGCTTTTGAATCTTTAAAAGGGAATTGCAATAAGCATCTCAGTATTTGGAGGGTTTTCTTAAAGTATGTCAAACTTTTACAGTACATTACAGAACTGTAAACATTACTGATGCCAAATTATAGTTAGGTTTCTTTCATAAAGAGTGTAATTACACATAGCCCTTCTGAATGGATTAACAAAAAATAAACCACCTAAAGGTTCACGTTTTCTAGGGCTTGATAGCCCTAATCTAGGTTTCTTTTACTTTCAAGCACCTAAAACCAATAAAACACTGCCAGGTGGGCTTTGCAGCTAAAGAAGGCAGATGTAGGACACAGAACCCAATGTGCAAGCACCAGGATTTCAATGAAAGTGCGTTTTTACTCTTACATAGCAGAAATACTTGTTCTAGAATAGAACTGTTTTACAAAACATGATTTTTAATACTTATTTTCAATCTTCAGTCATACAGCAGTTAGTTGATGCTTTCTGTGTGAACCAGTGAAATTACCTTGAGCCCTAGTGCAAACATGGTCAAATGCGAAATTGCTATAATAACCAGTTTCTGTATGCTTGATAATTGATGGCCCTTTATCCAAAGAAGTATATGAATTTGAGGAAAAGCATTTTCTTCAAATTAGAATTTTAGATGCAAAGTTCACATCTCATTTGTTGGTGACATAATGAAAGAAAGAAACCCTTCAGAATAGTTGATTTACTGAATTATGGAAATGTGTTAAGGGCATAATTCAGTGGTTATTTCTATTCCAGACCATTTATTGTGACGGTGGTCCCTGCTAGAGTACTACTGTTAAAGGGCTACATTTTAATTCCTTATATTCTGTATTTTCATATAATTTTTTTAAGTAAACACAAACTGTTTATCTACATTTTTTTTAGCTTTAAAACTGACAAAAATACTACCAGAGAAAAATAATGCAGCTTGTTGATTAATAACCTACAAATGAATGAGGAGAAAAATTTTGTCATAATATTTTGAACCTTAAACTTTTCATCAAATATCTGGTACTAATGGGGTCAATATTCTTAGTAGCAGAAGTGCAATGGTGGTCCTCAGATTTGGGGATACTACCTTGCAAAAAGAGTCACAGTACTTATGGCTTACTCTCTCGAGAATCAGATCTGAAGTCAGGTCAGAGTTGTTTCCTTGCTGTGCTAGTTCTCTGTCTGGCCTTTGGCTCCTTGCCTATAACTCCAGGAGGATAACACACATTTTCCATAAGTATAGGTTAGTGCTAATTAACCTACACAATTAGAAAGGGGGAACTAAATATGAGAGTGGATGAGTCTGTTCAGATGAGCAGGGATGTTTGTTGTTTCAGTGACAGCTGTGTTATCTTTACAATAAAATAATCTGACTCCTAAATCCTTACTTTCCTTACCCAAGTAGACCTGCCTTTCCATGGGGTCGTGGTTGTCACATGCCTCTTTGATATGGGGTTATAGGGATTTTTTTCTGTTGGTTGTCATAAGGGCACACTAATTTATGTTTGATTATCTTTAGATACAGAATCAGGAAAGGTATTTTCCCCCTTTCTGTTCCTGAAGGGACATTTACATAAACAAGAAATTGCACATTTCTGAAGGGGTGAGTAAAGTTAGGGTTGATTCTTTCAGCATTTGTTGCTGATGATCTGAAATTCATTTTGTCGTGTAGCCTATGTATCTACCCAAACAAGCACTTTTGAGTGCCAGTACATCATCTAATGTGCCATTAGTTTCCCATTAATGTTCTGGTACTCTTGTTTTGGCGTGCGTGCCCATGTGTGTGGTGGAGGCTTACTAGTTCTTCATTATGAAATACAAACATAATTGTAAGTGTTCCCAGAAAATAGGCAGGTTTAGGATAGTAAAAGCTTGTACTTCAGTGTGAGTGGATTCACAGGAACAGTTTTGTTTAGAACTTTTGTATGTGGGGAAGTTAAACCAGCTAAGAAAATAAGTACATTATTTAGTCAGGCACAAGGACTAGGATATATGGGTTTCAAAATTGGATGTGACTTTTTTCTTCGTGATTTGAACCCCTTAATTGCAACACAAGAAAATTATGGCAGTTAATCAGTTCTGCACAGAATTTATTTTGAAGTGTGGTGTCCTAGACTTTACCCTTTAAATGGCATTGCTGAACATAAAAGTACTTTCAACCAACACCTGCTCTTCATGCAAATGAAGTCTCCTGGGGACTACGGAAAGAGGTTTTTCTGTTCTAATGGCAGTACTCTGATTTCAGTCAAACTGGGGTTTTGTTGTTGCTCTCCCTCTGCTTTACTAGTTTTCTGCCTTGCTATCACACTGGATCTTTTTATCAATTCAACATCAAGGGCAGCCAGCCCCGATGCTTTAGGTAATTTTTAGGTTTTACACCCATCATTTCATAATACTGAATTTGAAAGGATGGTGGTGATTTACTATTGCTCTTGCTGAGAAAAACAGGAAAAAGTAAATTTCCCAGAAAAGTTTAAAACATGGTTTTAAGTGTTCTTTCACTTATTAACTAATGTATATCCAAAAAGTAAAAGTGTTTTCTGTATTGCAGGTCAGCACACTATGAAAAGTAAATACAACATATCGTTCATAATTTTATGGTGCTTTGCAGATATTTGCCTATTGTGAACAATTAATTCAGGCACTTAAGTTAATGTTAGTAAATGTAGTCACCCTGATAGTAACTATTTGCTTGCTTAACCTTTTTTAACCTTTATGATTCTGTATGAATGAAAGTTATATATTTAAATAATACTGTCAGCGGTGCCTACTACTGTTGTAATCGGGAAGGCTTTGTTAGCTTTACAGTTACAGGTATGCCCTTATTTGGGAAACTTATTCTTCCATGGCCATTCCTTAAGTTGACATGTAGACAAGGTTTCAGTAATAGGTGACATTTTAAAATATATTACCATGTAAAAATATTGGTATGCATTTCAATATGCTCTTGAGAAGAATTCATATTAGTGAGAAGACTTTACAAAGAGATATTTGTACATTCCCTGCTCTACACTGACTTGAGGTATGAGTTTTACCAGTATAGTATATTATTTATTAGAAGAATTTTACACTGAAATAACTTGTTTCCCCTGTGGGAATAAGTCATATGAATATAACTGCTATGCTTGTATAACAGGGTGCACAGTAGGTAGTTGTGCCTCTTTTGATGGCATTGATTTAGTTAGTGTTAAAATGTCCTCTTGTGCAGAGGAGACTCTTATGAGATCTTCACATCCTGTCAAATTCATATCAAAAGCAATTTTAACAGTCTGAATTTTTCTCTCAGAACCTTTGCAAACAAATTGTTGACAATTTGTTTAAATATATGGTCCAATGTGTCCTCACATTCACCTGCAAATGTGTCACAGTTGCTTACATGTAGATTTTCACATGTTCAACTTCATAAGTTGGCCTTAAATGAGAAATATAAAAGCACAAGTTATTAATTTAGGCTTTCCTTTCCCCTGTCCTTAAGTCTTTCACTTTGTAATTCTCATTGAATTCTGAAATCAGGTTTGAGAAGTTTTTTCATATTCAATGACAATTTGGAAATACTGACATTTGTGTTGAAAAGTGATCAGTGTTAGAAAAACAGATGGAAATAAATGTAAGGATTTTGATATGAAGCAGACTCTGAAGTATAAAAAAATATATAATGGTTCTGTGCTGATTCGTCACAGTATTTCACTACACTATTAGCCTTTATTTGTGTATCTAGTTCCAGTAATACTTTGAACAGCACTTGGAAGTATTTTTGAATTTCCTGGTAAAATCAATCAGCTATATGTATTTAAACTTGAACAAGTATTTAAATGCTACACTAAATAATTATCTAAGCAGATGCTCATGTGAGTTGAGCCTGCTTTCATTAGATTACCAAGTGAATTGAGCTGGCTTTCATTAGATTACCAGATCTAATATATATATCTAATATCTAAGCTAGTTTGCACTGTTGGTCTTGATCATGTTCATTGTCATGGTGGAAAAGCTGGCTGTGAAGAAGCCTCTGCTAAGAAACAACCATCAGTGGCTGGGAGGATTTGCCACAGCCTTCCTGGGTGGAGCTAACCATATATGTAGAGCTTGACAGAGGATCTGCTTGCTTGTCACCCAGGCCGCAGCCGCTCTATGCTACACCTGCCTGGATTTTTTGATGTGTTTGCTGTTTTAATCAAGACATTTGGCAAACGCCATGAAATCCAGGCATCCACAGTCACTCTGCCATGTTACAACTGCAAATACTGCAACAGTTGATTATTATGGTCAAAACTAACTAAAAAAAAAAAAAAAATCTTGTTTTGAGATCAGCTTTTTGTATATTTTTTACAAAGTCTAATTATCAACTGTATCAATTTTCATCCTATTAAGTATTTAAAAAATATTTTTGCTCATTTTGGGTATACTAACGTGCAAAAGCAAATTTTGGCTCTTCATCATCACCTGTGCATTAGCTGTGTGTCCAGTAACTTAGATCTGGTTTTGGTTTTAGACATTTTTAGAATTTTCTAAATCCATGTATATGTCCAAATAAACATTGTGTAAACTTTATGAATTAACAAACTGAAGTTACATATAGTGTGCTTAAATACACTTAAAGTAGGCCATGTCGGTATCTACATGAGGCTAGCGTTGCGCCCTCTGGTTCTATAGTGCATCTGCTGAAGGCTGTTGGGCTCTGCTCTCAGAGTACTAACCTTCTTGCTTCCTGAAGCAAAGATATAATCTGTTGGTTACACTCTAAGTGCAAAGTAAAGGGTTGCTTTTACTCTGTTGAAAAACCTACCCTTACAGGATATTCTGCTGCAGGCTATGAGTACAAAACTCTACTTCAGATACATGACTGAAATCTGAGAGCCACTTTCGGAGGAAACTTTATATTAGAAGTGACTCAGTTCAGCACCTTATTACAGGTGAACCTCTTGACAAAAGAGACATCTGCACAATCTTCTTCCTTCCTTTTGTTCTCTGAGCGAGAAATGCCCCAAGCTGGATTTTAATTTAGATTCACTACATTGTCATATCACAGATAGCTGTGATCCATGCTCTAGTCAGATTAGGCTTCCAAACTGTGATGATGTAATCTAAAACAAAGAGAAACAGGGTGCCCAAAGACCAATAATCAGGATAGTGCAACACTATGTGTTAAAGGTGCAACAATCTTTTGTCACAATAAGTTAAGGAGTATTTGCCTATGCATATTTTGCCTTTCTGTGTGTTTGAGTTCTCTTTACATCTTTTCTTTGTACCTTCTTTTGCCCAGTGTTGTTGACTATTCCTGTGGAGAATCTTCTGACGTGTCTTACTGTGGCAAAGGCATCAAAATGATACAATAGTAATTAGGTAGTTATTCTTAAATCCCAGACCTCAGTTGTGTTCTAGATCACTTAGAGAACATTCAAAATGTGTTGAATGACAAATAGTG